GAAAATTCCGCTGAAAAATGGGCTCTTTAAAAGTGATTTTCAGCAAATTTCGATCAATTTTTGGTCAGTTTTTCTATCAAAAAATGCCAAAAAATTGCAGATTTTCTAGACAATTTTCATTGATTTTATGTGATTTCTAATCGATTTTAATACAATTTTTCAATGATTTTCAGACTGTTTTCAGCCAAATTACCTCATTTTCAGGGGCAAAAATTCCAAAAAATTCAGTCAATTTTCAGACAAATTCCACAAATTTTTTTCACTGAAAATTCCAGATTTTTAAGCCTATTTTCAGCTGATTTCCTTCATTTTTTGAGTAAAATTCCTTTTCAGTGATTTTTGGTGATTTTTTATCGATTTTCTGGGGAATTTTTCGTGATTTTGAAGCAATTTTTCTTAGTTTTCGACCATTTTCAGACTAAAAACCTCGAAATTTCAGACTTTCACCTACAAAAGAGCCATCCGAAGATCCTAATTGTGTCAATTCCGCCAAATTCGATGCTGGTCCATCCGCATCTCCATCATCTTCATCCACTTCCATTTTCATGTCTTCCGTTTCGGCAGTGTGTAGAGTGTTTTTTAGAATTACATATTTATGTGGCCTATTTTCACCGTGTTTGGGCTCATTTTAAAGCTCACAATCCCATGAATCTGAAAAGGTTGTTTTCGTGATAATTGGGGTAACATTTTCAGAATTTCAGGCAATATTCAAAAAATTTGAATGAAGATTGGCACGTTTTGAGCTCATTTTGATGCTCAGATATTAAGAATTTCGATTTTCAGTGTCAAAATTTGTCGCGGTCGTGCGTCGCGTGTTTGGCTGAAATTTCAAAGTGGGCAGAGCCTAGTCGTGGTTGAGCTCATTTTGAAGCTCTCGACGAGACGTTGTCGAATTTCGCTATGAATCCTGTTAAAACACGCCGCGATTCGGTGAGATTCGAAAATTTCGGGTGCGTCGCGGTCGTGCGTCGCGTGCTTTAGGTGAAAAATCAAAGTTAACCGATTTGCGGCGTGTTTAGGCTCATTTGAAAGCTAGAAAGCTCAGAAATCTGAAAATTTCATTTTTATGTCAATTCAGACTATTTGAAAGAAGTTATGGACCAATTAAATTTGCGAAAAAACGTAAAAATTATCTTATTTCTACAGTAATCCTGCTCCTAAAACCTATCCTCTTCATTTCCAGCCTACCGAGACAATCACTACCTCCTAAACCAAATCCAATGGCGTCCTTTCCATCCGTACATGCCTAGTTTGGACCGTAATCCATATTCATATCGTCAAAAACCGGAGGAAATAGCGAATCGAATGTACCTAACCGACAAAAATACCCTAGAGCAGTGGCTTCGGGAACATCGTTACTCAGCTGAAGGACATTCGGGAGGGTTTCAGATGTTCAGTGTGAGTTTTCCTGCTTTTTGTGGCGCTGAAATTGGCTTAAAATAGGCTTAAAATGACTATAGAAATGTTTAAAACGGCTGAAAAAACGCTGAAATAGCTCAAATATGACTATGAATAACTTAAAATAGGCCTGAAATAGGCTGAAAATAGGGGACTTTTAGGAATTTCAAATTTATTGTACTTTGGCTAAAAATTGGCTGAAAAATGGCTTAGTATATCCTAAATTGGGCTTGAGTAGGCGTGAAATAGGCTTAAAATAGGCTGGGAATAGGCTGATGATCGACTTAAATAGGCTTAAAATATGTGTCATAAAAGGCATAGAATCGACTCAAAATAGGCTTAAAATGAGCTTGAAATAGTGTTAGTAGGCCTAAACTAGGCTAAAAATAGGCTTGAATCGGCTTGAAATAGTTGAAAATAGGGCTAAAATCGGCTTAAAGTAAGTCTAAAATGAGCTCAAAGTGTGCTGAAACTAGGCTTAAAAGTTGTTTAAAATAGGCCTACAGTAGGCTTAAAAAAGGCTTTAGATTGGTTGAAAATACACTTAGAATAGGCTTAAAATAGTCTTAAAAAATAGACAAGGCTTCAAATTGGCCGAAATAGGCTTAAAATGGGCTCAAAGTAGCATGAAAGTAGGCTTAAAATGACCTTAAAATATGTTCGAAATGGCTCAAAATAGTCTTAAAATGGGCCTAAAATGGGCCTATGATTGGCTTAAAATGATATCAAAATATGCTTGAAATGGCTCGAAATAAGCTGAGATAATATGGCTTACAGTTTGCTTAAAATATGTTTTAAATGGCCAACAATCGATTTTCGCGCTGAAATTGTGGCTGAAAAATGGCTTAAAATGACCGAATTTTCAGCACGTCCTCCATCAACTCGGCCGTATCGGTGGCTACAATTCATTTTTGGGTCTTCTCAAGTACTTTAACACAGTTGCCCGAGAGCACAACAGTGAGAAGTATGTGTTGGACCAATTCGCAAACGTCGTCCGAATCGCGCTTTCAGCGGAAGAGATATTACCCAAGGTTGGTGTCTTCGAAAAAAACTTTGTTTTGTTTTGTTTGAAACTGCTCGAAAATAGATCAGAATTACCGTAAAACCTCTAATAGAACGACACCCGGATCGTCCACTTTGAGCCTATATATCTCACTTCTTTTGAAAGATATCAAAAAGTTGTCAGCTAATAAAATGTTTATCAGGATATCAACAACATTTTACTAGTTAGCCACTTTTTGATATCTTTCACAGAAAATGAGATATATAGGCTCAAAGTGGACGATCCGGGTGTCGTTCTATTAGAGGTTTTACGGTAGTCTGAAATTCGACCTGAAATTGTTTCGAAAACCCGAAAGAGTTTAAGCTTAAAGGTGGTGTGTAAGGCTTCCATTCGGTCGGGAAATTTAGCCGACCGACCGACCCAGCCGACCGACAACCGACCGAGCTGACCGATCGGTCGGAGCGCCAACCGTTTTCGTGCATTTGCGCGTCAACGTGTTTGCACACGCGTGCATTGTATTTTACGACGAACTACTCACTAAATGCCTCGTGCGAGCAATCGCCTTTCGTGTGAAACGAAATGCAAAACACACGCATTTCGCGAAAAAAGTGGGCGGAGCCTCGGCACACACAAAGTATAGTGGACGGCGGAACCCGGGAGGTGTCGGCCGTTGCGTAGAATGACTACCCATCAGCGCGCATTAAAGAAAATTTTCTTTCGTGTCGAGACCCATCGACATAATTGCATGTTCCTTTAAAGGGGGACTCCGACCAAAAATTTTTATTGCATTAAAATGTGTTAAAATTTATCTATTTTCCGAATATTATTGCGAAAAAATTCAAAAAAAAATCCGAAATCCCCGAAAAACGGCGTTGAAAAGGAAGAAAATTCAAAAAAAGGTGCCGCCGGGGGACGAGGATTTTCAGTGAGAAACCTAGGCCACGGCAGTGGGCGCCTTTCCTATGTGGCAAATTTTCCGGATTTTTTTCAATTTCATGTCCGGCAGGTAAAAAACTTAAAAAACACTGTCGGCGACTTGAAAAAAAGGCCCCCGGCGGCACCTTTTTTTGGCTTTTAACACATTTTAATGCAATAAAAATTTTTGGTCGGAGTCCCCCTTTAATTTCGTTTTGCACAAGAAGCGAGAAAATTTTGCAAAACGTCAAGGTTTTTCTCCCACCCCTGGCGCAAAGGCACGAAATCGGTTGGCGCGCCGGCCGATCGGTCAACTCGGTCGGCTGTCGGTCGGTTGGGTCGGTGGTCGGTCGGCGGTCGGCGATTTTCGACCGACCGAAATGGAAGCCTTAGTGGTGTGTTAGCTAATTTTGGGCTCTTTTGCCCCGAATTTCGGACTAATGTCTTTTGAAGATTTCTAAATGTTTCTGTTAATTTCCTCCCAGGTGTATGAAAAACCCTGACAAAAATCAGAGAAAACCCTGAAAATCAATAAAAATTCGAATTTCGCGCGCTTTTACCGGCAGTTGGCCTAGAAAACTCACACATGGCCGCTAGGCCACCGGTTCCCACTTTGACTTTTCGATGCCGTTTTTCTCAATGAAGGAATTTTTTTTGAATTTTTTCTTTATTTTTATGGGGATCTACATGGATTTCTGCACAAAATAAAGCAATAAAATTAGTAAAAATTGGTCCAAAAATGAGTCCAAAAAAGCTGAAAATCAAAATTGCTGGCCTGAAATTTTATGTAAAAAATCTGGCTCAAATTAATGGTAAATAGTTCTAAAATCCGCTTCAATTATACTAAAATATGTCAGATTGGCTCAAAATTAGTTAGAAATAGTCCAAAATGGCATAGGACACTGTCCAGGTGTTTCCGGTTCAAAAATATATGGCTTTAGTCCGAAATTCGGGGCAAAAGAGCCCAAAATTAGCTAAAAATTATTGTCTAATTTTGCACATTTTCAGCGCATCTACCGTCTCACGGATTTTGTCGAATCAGCGACATTCTCGCATGTACAATGTGCTGCACTGCTCGCACGAATGTTCTTCAAACCAAAAACTAGTCATTCGCTCAGTTTTCATTAGTAAGTAGTTTTTCTCAAAATTTCGAGCTTAAAAATCCCGAAACATCAAGCTGAAATATCTGGAAATGTGATGAAAATTGGCTCAAAAAGAGCCCAGACCGGCCTAAAAAGCCAGAAAGCCCAAATTTCCAGATTTGTGAGATTGTGAGCTTTGAAACGAGCCCGAACACGATACAAATCGGTTAATTTTGATTTTTCGCCCAAAACACGCGACGCACGACCGCGACACACCCGTAATTTTGAATCTCTCCGAATCGTGGCGTGTTTGGGCTCATTTTGAAGCTCTCGGTGAGCTCAGTTCAAATTTTGATATATAGAATTGAAATTCTTGAATTCTGATCTTCAAAATGAGCCTTCCAGCCTCCTGGAACACGACGATGAACTATCGATTGAAAAACTGCGCTTCCTGTTCGCCTATTTCGATCGAATCGCGACGAATCCGCCGAAAGGATGTGTCAGTTTCCGTCTGAAAACAGTGAGAAACGAAGAATTCAAAGAGGAATGGATCAAAAATAAGTGCAATCCGATGCCCGATGTTCGAATCTATGATCAAATGGTTATTGAGGAGACCGCACTCTGTACACAAATCGATTTTGCCAATGAGTACTTGGGTGGAGGCGTTTTGAAAAGTGGCGCTGTTCAGGTGGGCAAAAATCTGTGAACAATGGTCCAAAATCCATGAAAAATAGACCAAAATTCGTGAAAAACGATACAAAATCCATGAAAAATGGTCTAAAATTCATGAAAAATGGTCTAAAATTCATTAAAAATGGTCTAAAATCCATGAAAAATGCTCAAAAATCTTTGAAAAATGGCCTAGAAATCCAAAAAATTAGGCCATCCATGAAAATGGAGGCTTTTAGATCGCTTCAGAGCTTCGTGGCCTAGAAATTGAGAAAGTTAGGTCACCAGGGCGTTCGATATGACCTAGAAAATCCAAGAACTAGGTCATGGCCTAGAAAATGCAAAAATCTAGGTCATGGCCTAGAAAATGCAAAAATCTAGGTCATGGCCTAGAAAATGCAAAATCTAGGTCATGGCCTAGAAAATGCAAAGAATAGCATTCTAGGCAACTTTCTAAGCTACGTGGCCTAGAAATCGCCCAAAAGTTAGGCCATCTATGAAAATAGAGGTTTCTAGGCCATATTTTATCTTGTTTAAGGGTGATTTTAGAGATTCGTGGCCTAGAAATTAGGAAAGTTAGGCCATCCAGGCTATATGAGCAATCTGATGGCCAAGAAAATCGAATTTTGGAAAAGTTGGGCCCTTATGACCTAGAAATCCCCCAAAAGTTAGGCCATGTTTAAAATCAGTGGATTTCTAGGTCATCAGAGACTAGAAATTGAAGATTTCATGTCGTTTTTGGACCATTTTTGAGATGCGTGGCCTAGGAATTCAGGATTCTGATGATGATGGCCTAGAAAATGCAAAAGTTAGGCCACCAGAAAATGTTGCCATTTTGCAGGAAGAAATCCGTTTCCTAATGTGTCCCGAAATGATTGTCGGAATGTTGCTGACGGACAAAATGGACGATACGCAGGCGATTTCGATCGTTGGAGCATATGTGTACAGTGGCTATACGGGTTACGGTAGGTGTTGGGTTTTTTTGGGATGAGCAATTTGGAAAGTCCGATGAAAATCGACCATTTTTAGTTGAATAATTCGGAATTTCGGGCCACTTCTAGGTCATTTTAATGTGGTGGCCTAACTTTTGCAAATTACTTTTCTAGGCCATTTCAGCAAAAATGTCTGGAAAACACTCCAGATGAATATCCATTTCTAGGCCCTTTCAACGTGCTGACCTAGAAAATGCAACGTGAGAAAGTTAGGCCACCATGCTAAAATTGCCTAGAAGTGGCCTAATATGCCCC